TTGATACATAATGCTTCCAAAGATTTATAGGCATTACCCAAGAAAAAAATTACTGAGCTAAAGTTTTTGAGAGAAAATGGCACAGAAAATATACAGTAGAAATATTGCAGAGTTGGAAAGGGTGTTAGAGAATGTCTATATCAGAGAATCATATTCCAAAGATGCAACGTGGCATACTCACTTTTACAGAACATTTCTAACCACATCTTCATTCCCCAGAATAACCTATCTCTGTGTTCCTGTATACCTTGTGCAACTAATTACCATACTACATTAAAATTCTGTCTAAATGCCTATCCTCTCCCCTCCCCATCCACCGTAAGATCCTGAGAGACTAGGCTTGTGCTCAACTCATCCTTGCAGTCAGGCTTGTGTTAGGTACTCAAGTGCACTGAACCATATCCCAGTTAAAATTTTTCTGCAAATCTGAGGGGAAGGTATAAACTTCTGGGAAACGGTCTGGTTAGTCCTCCATTCCTTTTTACTGGGGAAGAAGTTACAAATGATAATGTAACTACAGATCAGAACTTGGGTACAAAAACACAGTAATGTTAGAGAGGGACATATAGAAGGTCATCATGTAACACAGGACCTACTAACTTTTTGATTGTTGGATTTTGATGACTAGGTCTCTAAGAATCTCTTTCAACCACTTTAGAATGTTTTTTGCTGAAGCAACTATAATACAAATCAGAAGAGTATGGTTGCTGGCTATAGTGTGATATATGGTTCTTTCTCATGTGGTTCTTTTTCAAACAATTCCACAAGAGTCAGGGATGGAAAAAGGAAAAATTAGGAAAGTAGAAAGGCTGTAAAAATGGAGATACTGTGGAATAGTGAAGAAAAAAAAAAAGCTTAGTACAAAGAGCAAAGTTCTACAATCTAACTCTGGTTATGCCATTAGCTGAGTAACCCTGAACAAATCACTTTTTCTTTTCAGACCAAGATTTCCCCATTTATAAAGTAACCCAGATGCCCTTCCAGCTCTAACATCCCAGAATTCTAAAGAATAAACTACTGTTGCTATGATCAGTGAAACTCCATGGCATGAGTATGTTTTATTTGTTTGAAATAGGACACATAAATAAATTATTTAGCAGACAGAAGCCCCAACCTCCATTTGAGCTTTTACCAAGTTCCAATCCAAATAGTTTTCTAGAACTACTCACAAGCACTTGTCCAAATGAGCTACTGTATTTTGAATACCCCTGTTCTTAATAAAATACTCAAAGGCTGACCAGAAAAGAATGGAACAGAAACAGGTGCTACCTATATAATGCATTAACTTAGTCTCTTTGTTGTGTCCTTTTCCGCCACTGTATTTTCTTTATGCTACCCACTGGCCAGGCTCAGCCAAACCTATCTCTTTTTACTCAAATTTATTCAAGGCTCAGTTTTAATCTCACTTCTTCCATGAAGTCTTTCAGTCCTCCTCTAGCTCACATCCATCTCTCTTTTAAGTTGCTATAGCACTACACTGCTACTATGAACAGTAAATGAGATCTCTAAGAATCCTATAATAACATAGCAATTGCTCAATAAATGACAAGTAATTGGTGTTGCTGTGCCTTTAACATGAATTACATATGCCATATCACACATGTTCAATGTGTCTCAAATTTAATTTGATTATGAATCATGTGGGGAGCTCATTCAAATGAAAGTTCCAAATTCAGTAGGTATGAGATGGGGCCTGAGATTCTACAATTTGAAAAGTTCCTAGTTGATGCCAGTGCTGCTAGTCCAAGGACCATACCTGAAACACAAGGGATAGTTTTTAACAAGCTTTTTAAAAAATGTATTTATCTTACCCACCTCACTGGAGAGTAAGCCCTCTGAAGGCAGAGACTATTTCTCATTTTTCTTAGAAAAGGTACCTTATACAGCAAATGTGCTCAATAAATACTTGCACTCTCTCGATAACCAAAAGTGTCTGTGCTGTACTAATTTTCAAGGCAAACACTGAAATCTGGCAGGATGAAATGCCTACTTGGTCACTGGGTTCAGAATCATTGGAATGGGAGCAGGGCAAATCTGAGAGAAAAATCTACTTATCAGTGACAGGACAGAACAAGAAGAAACAAGAGCACACACACATGGGCACTTATTCCTTGTTTAAATGTAAAGATCATTAAAGTGCAATCTGAACTCCACTTCAAATTTAGGTATGAATCTTAAAAAGAAGACATGAAATTTCTGGCAGTATAATAATTGATAACACATATAAGGAGCTTGATGGGGGGGGGGCGGATTACCGGGGATTGAACTCGGGACCTCGCACTTGCAAGGCAGGCAGCAGAACCACTGAGCTAAATCCCCAGCCCTTGATTTTATTTTTTTAGTGGTACACAAATATTTTTCAATGATCTTTTAGTGTGAAGTAGTCTCCAGACCTCAGGCAACCAATGAAAATATTTCAAGCATAAGAAAGAAAGAGAAACACTCACCAATGTTCCCATCAACCTAGTCAATAGTGAGGTGTCAAAATTACACTGCCTACAATTACACTTAGAAAAATTCAAAAGAATCTGTGTGTATTAAGGATTCTCTGAGAGGTTACCTATTATACATCTTTCTTTTAAATCTCCAACTATTTAAATGCTTGTTAAAACCCTCTTCAGCATTTTATAATTCAGACGGGACCGATATTCTAAAATTCTATTGGAATACTACACTCTGACTTCCTATTCAAGCATGAGAAAAATTACATTGGGCATATATGACACCTGCTTACAGAATACTATCTAGATAGCTTAAATAGTGGGACAAAGTTACTAAAGTCAGTCTTTAGAGAAAAAAGCACCTTTGTAAGTTACTGTGCTTATCACAAGCAGACACCAGCTCCTCAATTCACACAGACCTTCCAATAAAACTATTCATCAAGACTTAGCTGAGTTGTTTTCAACAAATTTAGAAGACATGCACTGGAAGGAGACAAACTGCAATTCTGGGAATTGCTGTTAAGCACCAAAACAGAAGCACCAAATTGCTGTCAAGCACTAGACTCAAACTGTGCTTATGAGTTTTAATAAATCAATGTTACTACTTCAGAGAAAATCAGAAAGCAGTTGGGAGTCAGCCCACAAGAAAGTGGCTTCTATTACTTCCATCAGAAGTCTAGTCTGCAGGGCAAGACAAATTCTCTGGTTTATGCCAAGCACTCTTCCTACAAAATACTACTATCCAAGGAGAGTTTCACATCTCTATCTGCTGAAGCATATCTAACTACACACAGATCTGCAGCAGTCTCAGAACACTCATACAAATAATTATCTACCTACCTATAGGCACCTCACTAGCAATCAGACTCAAATAAATAGCTTCAGTGAGATGAAAGAGCAGGGCAAGGCACACACAGGTAAGATTTTGATTAGAAGAATTAAACACCAATTCTCATTTCTCCTCCTTTTTCCTGGGCTTTCTTCCAGACTCATCTTGTGTGAAGCTTTCTCTAGTAACTCTGGCTCTCATTAATTCCTGAAACACTAGTCCCAACCAATAATTCTAGATTCCTTTTGGTCAACTGTTTCATGTATCTATTTCATCTCCCAAGTTTGAGTGTGACTTCTCCAAAAGCGACCCCCTCATCTCCAGCTACCTAGCTCCTAGTGAGAGCTTATTACTAATCCTCCTAATGATGATACAATAACAGTGAGATATAACATAGGGGCCAGGCAACTGGAGTCAAACCAGCCTGAATTCAAATCCTGAATCTACTATTTGCTGGCTGTATGACTGTGAACACATCCCTTGCTTTTTCTACGCCTCAATTCGTGGTGAGGTAACCATGGGTTATTACATTGAAAGTACCTGCTACAGAGTCTGGAATATAAGGAATGATCAGTACAGCTTAGCTACCTTCTTCCCCTCCCCCTTAAAAAGCACTTGTTGATTTTAATTAGTTGGAGCAACTTGGGAGGGGGAGGCATTGGCACCACAGAATTCTCCCACACTTTTCTTATGAACCCTCTTGCATACAGCAAAGGTCTTTTCTACTCTACAGTCTTGAAGAGAAAAAAGCCAACCACATCAGTCTCCCAGTTGACTTTCTGGAATGGTCACATGAGCAGGAAGACATTCGCACATCTTCATCACTCCTACCAGCCCGCCCCAGCACTCCCTCCCTCCAAGTCTCCCACTGCCAGAACAGACAGAGCAAAGCAGTGAAGCCGCCTAAGAGGAAAGGAGATCAACAGCCTTCTGGTCTCTTGTGTGCGCCTCCCTCTTGGGGGGAACGCTCAGGGCCAGGCTCCGACCTCAAACCCTGAGGAAAAAACCCATCCAACCAACCTACAAACAACTTTCTGTAACCCTGAAGAAAAAGCACCCCAAATTCCTGGCCTCTTCTTTTCTTCATGCCTTCATCAGTCAATTCCACCATCACTATCTGCTACATCCCAACTCCCTGCTACACCCACCAGAACTTACTAATTAATTAATTTAAATGGATCTCATTCGTGCTTTTCCCAACTAGATGAAACAGTTTTTGCAGGCTTTGCCATTCTAGGTTGGTAAAATACCGCATATCCCTTTAAAAAGGAAAAAAAAAAACCCATTATTTAAGTTTCCACCGACTCCATGAAGGTGGATCATTTATGCCCCTAGGTCATCTCTCAGCTGCAAGAACTCACCATGACTCCCCCCCCAACATACACACACACACACACACACACACACACACCGCGCAGCAAAAACAAAAAAAACAAACCCATACACTCCCTCCCTGGTGCACAGAATACGGCCACGGTCATTTCATTCTTCTCCAACGGAGGGAAGCGGCCGGGCACGCGTGCGTCGCCACGTCGGGGATGCGCAGTGGTCCCCTGGGGCTGCACCTGACCTCGGGCTCAAGGGTCCAGGTCAAAAAATTAAAAATCCCCGCCCCCTGCCCCCCAAAACACCGGTCGCCACAGGTCACCCGCGCCTCCCAGGCCGCGCTGCCCCCATCCTCGTCCCCGTCCCGGCCCGTGCCCGCGTTCCGGCCGCGCGGGGACACCCACCAGTCGGCGTGCGGCGCGTCCACCACCAGCAGCACCTTGGCCTTGCGCGCGGGCGCGGGCGCGGGCGCGTCCACCAGCCCCGCCGAGGCGGCCGTCTGCTTCACGGCCTGGGACAGCGAACTGAAGAAGCCGCCGCCGCCGCTGCCGCTGCTCGCGGGCGCCGGGGCCGGGCTGGGCTGCGCGGGCGGGCGGCGCTCGGGGCCCGGGGGGCCGGCGGGGGGCGCGCCCGAGGCGGGCGGGGGCGCGGGCTGCGGCTCGGGCCGCTGCAGGTCGGTCATGTAGCCGTTGGGCAGGTTGGCGATGAAGCTGCTGTCAGACAGACGGCGCCGCAGGAAGTTCATCATCTGGCCGGGGGCCGGGGTCGGCGGGGAGAGCGCGGCCAAGGGGGCTGAGGGAGGCTGCTGAGGTTGACTGAGGAAGGCTGAGAGTCTGAAGGAGTCTGAAGGAGGCTGAGGGAGTCTGAGGGAGGATCCTGAGGAGACTGCTGAGGTAAGCTGCTGAGGGAGGATGCTGAGGGAAGCTGAAGCACCAAGCTCCCACGGCCGCGCGCCAGCCCAGCAGACAGCCGCGGCGCACGGGGCGGAGCCAGCCGGCGCGCTGGGCGGGGCCAGCCACGCGGGGCGGGGTCTTGTGGGTGGGGCTAGATATGGCTCCGCCCTGCGCCGCAGATCCCGCTCAGCCAGCGGCACGTGCCCGCCGCCTCCGTGCTTTAGGGACTCTGGTGGGGAGAGCCAGGCCTCCGGCCACCTGCGCGTGATTCGGGACCGTAAGGGAAGGGCATGGGAACCGATCCTCCCCACGTTTTTGTTTGGAGCGGAAAAACCGGTCCCAGCTTAAATGGAGGAGAAGGAAGCCATCCCCACGCAGCTCCTCTAGAAAGGAGAGAGCGACCAGCCCCCGCCTGAAGAGAGGGAAAGGGTCGTGTGCACACACACAGACACAGGTACACACACAGACACACGTACACATACACAATCATACACAGACACACAAGCAGAGGCACAGACACGTGCACATACAAGTGCACACACAGACATGCACACAGACGCGCACATACATACACAGACACAGAAAAACATGCACGTCCATAGTCACACGCACATACACTCAGCTCCTGTTCCAAAGCTAGGGAGGAAGGTACCACCTCCCTGACCCAGGTGCAGGAGAAAGGACCAGTCCGCCCCCGCTGACACAGCTGTGTGGTGGGGTGCACAGAGCTACCCCAGCCCACGCTGAGGGAGGGTGCATTGTCTGCGTTGAGGGTTAAGAGAGAGGCACAGACCTCTGCACTTGGTCTGGCAGGAGAGTGTGAGGCCCCATACCAGAGCCATTCGAAGCCTGGAGACCAGCTCTGCAGGACCCCTCCAGACGGCTGCTCAAGGCCCCCACCTCCTCAGCTTGCTTCCCAGGCATGCACTGCCCCCCAAGGTTGTACCAAGCTCTTTCTGTTCGTTTTTCCCGGCCCATCCATCTGTCGGGCCTGCAGTGACCTTCAGGGAGACTTTTCTGAGTGCCACATGCCTGCATAGACTCTAAATCATGTGTGACCCTTGGTCCTCAGATATACTTTTTCCCTGGGTCGCAATGGAGCAGAAGCCAACAGCCATACTTTGGAGGCATACCACCATGGGAGTATGTGACCTTGGACAAATTACCCCTCTGAGCCTCCTTTGCTCCGCTAATAGAAAGAAGTAAATAACACCTTTCAAAGTTGTTAGAGTGAAAGAGATCATGTGTGTAAAACATCTGATATGCAGCACCAGTACATATTCCAGTAATGGTGCCTAAATTCTTGTGATTGAATTGGTTCTCAGTAATTTCTCACTGGACTGAATAAAATCAGCAAGTGGCTTGTCACTCATATTGGCAGGCACATCCTGCTTCCTACACCCTAGCTGCACTCACTAGGGGCTTGGAAAAGCACAATGCAGCTCCTTGCCAGGGTGTCAGAAAGGTCTGCAGTCTGTTGGAACAATGCAGAGGCCCCCACCTATGGTGGCCCAGGCTCCGTGGCAGGAAGTAGAAAGACTGATAGAAATGGGACCTGGCCCTTGTCCGTGGGAAGCTCAGTCTATGGGGGTTGGAGAATCAAGGGCAGAGAAGAGACACTGAGACAACTAGCCACAATAAGATGTGAAAAATGCACTGATATAGCTCAGCAAGGTGGCCTAGGAGCACCAAGGAGCAAGGGACTCATTCTGCCTTTGAGCATTAGGAAAGACTTCTCAGAGGAGGTGAAACTGAGATGGATCTTGAGGCACCTGGAAAAGTTTACGGGTAGAGAAGTGGAGGAAGCACTCATGCAGAGACAGCACGGAGCTATGCTGTGCCCCTCCTCCAGGAAGTCTTCCCAGAATCCTCTATGGTTGGCCAAGTGGTTCATAGCTTGGCTTTGCTAGGGTACCTGATGAAGTTAAAATATTCTGGTGCCTAGAATGTAAGCTTTTCAAAGATAGAATTGTGACTTAGCCATCTCTGAACCCCAGCATCAAACACAGTGCCTCACTCAGTTGGTTGAGCATTGAACTGTATTCCTACCCAACCCTATTCTTGTCTATTGGAGAATAAAATTGATGTCATTAATAATGAAACCAATTCAGCGCACTCTCTTTTCTAGAAGTATTTTTTAGAGAACGAAAAAAGTCTTTTCCAAAGGTACATGTCTCTAATGGTGGGATTTCAGACACTGTGTCACTTCCATTTTTTTAGGTGATCGGGTTATCTCTTGCATAGCTTGCAGTATATGCATAATATTTTTTAAAGCAAGCAATTAACAAGCATTTTTTGAGCACTTAATACGCACAAAGCATTCTGCAAGGGAGAGGAGAGGAAGGAAGCTGGAGGATGAATGAAGCCCAAGTTCTCGCCCTAGGCAGACAGCTCAGAATTTGGGGGTGAACATGGGGACACATAATTAGCAGCCATACAGCTGGCTAATAGTCAGTGCACAGAAGTGGGGGATGGGAGTGTTATAGGAGCCAGAGGAAAAAGACATGCAAGCATGGGAGATTTCACAGGGGAGGAGAGGCCTGGGCCTTTGGAAATGTGTGTGGAATTCAGATAGGCAGAAATGAGGGAATAAAGCAACCTCAAGCGTGGATAGTAAGAACAAAGTCAGGAGCTTGACAGGTATGTCCTGGCACTCCACAACCTTTGCCTGTGTTTTCACTTAATTCCCTGTACCATGCCCTCCAGTATTTTGAGGGGAGGCTGGGAGACTAGGCTTATGAACCAGAGTCCCCCGTGGAAAGTTTTGCTTTCCACAGTTTCAGCAGCCTGCAGTCAGTCAACTGTGATCCAAAAACATTCACATAACTTTTATTATATTACATTGTCATACTTGCTCTATTTTATTACCAGCTATTGTTGCTAATCTCTTACAGTGCCTAATTTATAAATCAAACTTTATCATAGGTGTGGGGGGGACCATAGTATAGATAGTGTTCGATAATCTCTATGGTGTCAGGGGACTTGGAACACACTCCCCACAGATAACAGGGACGACTGTACTTGTGTGTGCCATTAGTGTCCATCCAGCTTGTCTTTGTACAAACACTGCAAAGAAAGAAGTTCTGTCTTCTGCCCCTCTCAGAAAGATCCACAAAGCCTGATGTGACATCTAACACACATAAGTGTTCCCATCATGGGAACGAGATCAGTGTTCCCAAAGGATTGCTTTAACTTTAGATTCCTTCACTAAGGCAATAGAGGCCCATAAAACCATAATTTATTCTATTAATTTCTTACATTATCTTCTGGTAGGTATTAATGAAAATATTAAGGAAGAAGAGATTATTTTCCCATAATCGAACATTGATGGTCATTAATCAGTTGTGCATGAGCAGACGTTTTCATCAGGTGGTTCCACTGTAAATCACCTCTGCTTAAACCAACACCAGGCACATGCTGTGGGTCCTTGCCAAGAACAGTCCTGGTATCCTGCACTTCATTATAAATGGGCCTGGATTCTGATGAGCTGTGATGGCAATCTTCCCTTTACCTTTACCTATGGGTCTAGACCCATTCCCGGTCCAGGTAGACTGCAGCACTATTAATCTGTTTATTGTTATAGATGGTGCATGTGAAACCACTCATTTAAATGGGCTTTTGAAAGAAAAGTTTATGCCAGTAAACAGAGACTAAAATTGAGGGCTAAAATCAGGGGTAGATTCTAGCAGCTAGCTGGGAAAAGCCAAGCTTATTACATCTGTGTGTGGATGAGCTGACATTGGGAGAGAGAAACAGCAGCAGCTATCTGGGAGAGATTCCATCCTTGAGTGGATGGGCTCACACCAGGAGAGAGATATTAGGAGCTAACTGGGAAAGAAATTAGGCTTATGTAGGTATTGAAGTGGCTAAGGAATCTGGGGTAAAATGTTTATGATTGAGTCCAGGGGCAGTCAGCAGGTGGGTTGACACTCACTGGACTTTTTGGCATGGGGGGAGATTGTCTTCTGTTCACTATCTTCTGTTCATAGCCTGTCTTTTGCTGAAAGTGGCCTGTTTGCTTTTGTCCTGTTTGTTTGTGAAAGACTCATTTAGGTCAGACATGACATTTATGTCCTACCTTTTACCTGGAATTGAATGGAGGATTGGATTTGGGTTCAGGAAATTCTACAAAGTATACAATTCTGGCACTGTTTGGGCCTTTTCCCCCTATTTCCCTCACAGACTAACCTTTCTCCATCAGCAGAGGGATCCTCTCCCACATTTCTTCATTGCTCAGGGACCCAGTAAGCCAACCATCACATCTCAGAGGTCCCCTCCAGTGATGGAAGCCTGGATTCTTTGAGGTCCTTCCTCGAGCAATCTTTATCTGCTCACTGAATTGTAAATATGGGTAAACATCTGGTAACTGCAGATGAAAGAATCCTGCTAAAATCAAGAACCAATTTAAATACTTGATTACCTCTCTGATTTCTCTTCCCCTGAGCAACAATACAACAGGAAACTTTCCAGGGATGAGGGCTGGGGATGTGAGTGGAGAGCAACTGATTCATGTAAACCTTGATTCATGTAAGGGGACCTGGTGTGTGAGCTACTTGGCAAAACGCGTGTCACCTGACTTCGCTCTCCACCAAGGAAGTTGCCTGGGACCAGACCAGCCTTGGCACTCGCTCTCTTCCCACTCAGACTCACCTGCTCTAAGGAGAAGCTGAGAAGATTTGGAGTTCAGGAATTGTGCACCCTCATCTTTCTTCATTGCTATTGGCTTTGCAACTTTTTGATGCATTGTTCAGGTTCCCTGGCCTCATATGCAACCCTGCCTGGGGCCTCTTGTGAGACCATCTGGGAGCCACTTTGGAAGCCAGAAAGCTTCACCAAAAGAGGCACCATGACTGCCTTCCACACCATTTGACTTCCTTGCTTCTGGAAAGCCCCACCAGGAGAGCTCCTCACCACCAAGGAGGCAGGTCTTCTAAACAATGCCTGGATTAGCCCCATAGATTCCTTCCCCTTTCACCTCTCCAAAAGGTCATCAGAGGGCCAGGGATTTAGCTCAG